GCATTTTCAGGAAGTCTAGCATGAACTCGCAGGAATATGTGTGTATAATGACTTGTTTATAATACAGTACTATCCAGTTACATGACACAATGTTGCATTATCAAAATTTCAATGCAGGAAAAGCTCTACAAATTTACAATAAAGTATTAAATTTAAGATGTGTAATTTTTTTTAAAAATATTTTATATTTTTTTAAATGATGCAAATTAAAAAAACATTAAAGGGTTAAAGAAAGTAGATTTCGGGGGGGCACTGAGTAATTTTTTTTAAAAGGGGAGGTAGGTGAAATAAATTTTGGAATCTCTGGTTTACAGTCATATTCCAAAGTCTTTGAATATGGGGGTCAAATCTGTCTTTAAATGTAGATGATTCCATCTATGTTATGGGTTAAATAATATTGGTCCTGATTAGCCCACAAACAGTTTTTTTATGACTTTTGAGATCTTAGAGCTAAAGAATGGAGGGGTCTTTAAAAGTCACCTAAGTCTAACTTCTTCATTTTACAGATGAGAAAACTGCAGCCCAGGAAGGTTAAGTCACTAGCCGTAGTTCACACATACAGTAAACTTTAGAGAAGGATTTCTAATCCATGTCCTCTGACTCCAGATTCAGTGATTTTCCACTGTAGTATTTCCCCCCATTATTTCTGTGGGAAGATGCATTCCAAATAAACAGGAGAAATACAGTTCTTTGGAACATAATTCACTGATAAGTTTGTAACTGTTGAACTTCACAATGAAAATAGTATTTTTCAATAAATATAGACAATGGATTGACTCTTGTTACATTTACTTTGTCTTTTGTGTACGAAGACAATATGGTATATGGGCCCATCGGACTGGAATCTTGATTTTATTTGCTGAAAGAATATGAATGGATCCAAGGCTTCAAGTGAACTCCATGTGCACCCAATATCACATCAAACTAAAAATGTCTCGAACATTGGCATCATGATGTCCCCCAAAACCTAACACCCTCCATTCAACCCACAGGCAACATTAACTCACTGTCCTAGTTTCTCGAGAAAGTGGAGAACTTTGTATATGCAGCTCCTAAGACTTTCAGTGAATCTTAGAATGTTAAAGTAGAAAGTTAGAATGCGAAAGTTAAAGAATGTTAAAGGAAAGAACATTAGGGATCATCACCTAGGCCAAATCTCTCACTTTGGAAATGATGAAGCTGAGCTGCTGAGAGACTGTGTCTTCCTAGGAAGTGTTACATCAGACACGTGAATCCAGGTCCCCTAAGTAAGGGGAGCTAGGTGGCACAGTGCATAGAGAGCCGAGCCTGGAGTCAGAAAACTCCTCTTCCTGAGTTCAAATCTGGCCTTGTACACTTATAGCTGTGTACTCTTAGGCAAGCCACTTAATCCTATTTGCCTCAGTTCTCTGATTTGTAAAATGAGCTGAAGAAGTAAATGCAAATCATTCTAGTATCTTTTCCATGAAAACCCCAAATAGGGTCACGAAAAGTCAGACACAATTGAAAAACAACTAAACAACAACAGAATACTCCTAACTACTAGTTCATTGTCCTTTTCTCTTTGTTAGAACTCCTCAATACAGATGAAACAGAAATCCTGCTAAATAAGATGGGGTCTACAGTAATCTGGAAAGCAAAATAACCTTTCAAAAGTCTTAAAAATTGTTTATAAGGCACTAAAAATTCAGTGAATTACTTTGAAACTCCATAGTACAGCTCTTTATAGCATTGTTCTCTAATTTATCTAACTTGATTACATGATTCAAAATTGTTTGCTAGGCTTACTGATTTAATGGAAGGGCACTAAAATGCAATTCATTTTGCTTTATTTTTAATGGATATGATTTCAGGATTGTTAAGCTTGTTTAACTTTGTCCAAGATTCAAGCTTTACTTCCTTTGTACATTCTGATGACCTTAAAAAAAAAAGGAAGATATTTTTTCCTTTAATTGGCAAGTCTGAGAAAAATAAACTAGTCTTTTCTCCTTTGCCGTCTTAAAGGAATATCATAAGATTCCTGCTCTAAAACATCTTTCTCATAAGGTGAAATGCTTTCAGGATATCATGTTTCTACATACAGAGCAAAGTAATAATCAAGAAATACCAAATACTGCTGTCTTATGGTTACCTCCTGCCTTCTAGTCATCTTAACAAGTGAAATAATGCTCTAGGAAGGCTCTAAAGCACCTTGGCATGGTAAAATAAGGAAAAGGGGACCTATGGGTTAGAAAGAGAGGCAGAGAAGTTTTGAAAATGAAATTACACCTTCATAAATGTGAAGGAGCAAAACAACACATTCAGGGAAAGAAGCAATTAGGGGAAGAAGTTTTTTTTTAAAGAAGGAAAAAACATGTAAAACTACGACTTTTACTTTGTAGGAAAAGAGACACAGTGTGTCTGATACATATTTGCTGAAGTATCATATCTTATTTCTGGGAAATGTCCAATTTATTAAAAATTGTTGAATGCTTTAAAGAAAAAAGAATGCTTACAATTTCTTGAATACATCCCACCTCATACCAGAAGTTTCAATATTAAACACAGCAAAACTTTTCTCTTATTTTCAGTGCAACCAGAAACCAAAAATTGTTAATCAAATTATCATGAAAGCCAATCATTTGATCAGAAGATGAATTCTCAATCCTTTCCAAATCAGCAGTCATTTAGCTGTAAGTTTCTTGTTTTGGTTGTAAACTACAGATATCACATTATCACAGTGGGGGAGAAAAATGGAAGTGTGGACCATATAAAATTAGCAACAAAGCTTATAATGCAAAATACCAAGTTAAAAATGTATAGATCTTAATCCTTAATCCTTATAGTATCTTTATCTTTAGAAAAAGCATTGAGTCAAGTTTTAGATAAGTTAAAGTCTTCAAAAATATAACCAAATGCCTCAATATACAATATTCAACTCCATGCCTTCTTATATATTACCAAACAAGGTACATGTCACCATGTGAGCTCCAGCTAACAGGTTTTGTCTTTTGTTTTGTATCTTAAATGTAACCTGTAACTTCTTTGGTGTGTGGGACTCTCAATAAGGAAACTTCCCTTCCAAAGCACTGCTTGTTAGCATCTACTCTCCAACTTATAGAGCTAAGGAGTTGGGAGAAAGAGGTAGAGGTGGGGTGGCATTCAGAAGTTTAATGACTTACCTAGGGTCACCCAGCCAGTATGAATAAGAGGCTGTCTTCCTTATGCGGAAATTGTTGCTCTGTCCATTACACCACACTATCCCTGAGCTTGTAAATAACCACTAAATAAGTAGTTCTTTCAAATCACAGCATTTCAGAGGTAGAAAGCCATCAAATCTAATTTCACAGATAAGAAAAATGAGGCCCACAGTGGTAAAGTTGTCCAAAATCACCCAACTAGAGGTAGAGTCAGGGCTAAAATACAAACCTCTCCTGACTTAATAAGAATCAATGTTTTTTTTTTCCTATTATATGATGATTCCTTTATATCATTATGCTTTGACTCACTTTTCATATTTAGAATGTCATATTTCTTTTTAAAAGTATGTATAGGGGGCAGCTAGGTGGCACAGTGAATAGAGCACCGGCCCTGGATTCAGGAGGACCTGAGTTCAAATTCGGCCTCAGACATGTAACACTTACTAGCTGTGTGACCCTGGACAGGTCACTTAACCACTATTGCCCAACCAAAACAAAACAAAACAAAAATAATAATAAAAGTGTATATAAATTTCCCTTTACAAAGACTTCCACTCTTGAAATTAAGCTTCTTGAAATAAAAATAATTATCTCTAAAGCATAGATAGTTTTCCACTGTGAATAGCTTGATTAGTCACTGTTTGAATTATCCAGGTCCTTGGTCTCTCTTCTTCCCTTCTAATGAATACTTTCTGTTTCTCTGCAACTTTACTTATCTAATAGCTGGTAGAAAAGGACAGGGAGAGGAAACAAAACTCAAATCAAGGGAGAGTTCTATTTATTCCTGACTGTTCAAATGGTACTTAACCATAAGCATAAATAACTCTACCTTGGTTTTAAGAGTATTGTTCTAACATACTGGAAAAGCAAAACATATAGCAATGTTTAGCTATGAAGAACTTCCTATACTCTGTATTCTGTTCAAACAGATGTTTCTTAACTATAGCTAATTCCCTGTATTGTATATCACTTGTATCCTGCTTTAATTGTCTGATCTATATATCATCTATGTCTTGTTAAAGCACAAGTTTCCCTGTATTGTATATCACTTGTATCCTGCTTTGATTGTCTGATCTATATATCATCTATGTCTTGTTAAAGCACAAGTTTCTTAGTGATGAGAATGTTTTAACTCCCAAACATTCCTGTTCCCTGTTAATAAAATGCTCGCTTAATGAAAAATACCTTGTTAGCAGAGCCAATCAAAAGAAAATGAGAGTGTCCTTCAACTTTGCTGGAGGTTTTTTTTCCCCAATACAAAAGAAGTTAGAAAAGTCAAATGGAACTTGGCTCAGAAATAATGATCTTCTCAGTGCTGTTCCATTGAAAGTAAAATATCTCTTGACTTCAGCAATTGTTAGAAGTTTTATTTCAGCTACGCATGACACTCTAGGGGAAAGGAAGTTGAAATGCTTGCCAAATAGAGGCTTTTATTTTATTTATGGATTTCAGTATCTATTTTAATCTTTCCTCCATTACAAGGGAAAATCAGGACCCAACTTTTCTGGGAATGATATTTAGGTTTCCAGCAAAGGATGGCATCATAGCACAACCCAGAAAATAATTGTGAAGTAAAATTCACAGTAAACAGATAGAATCAGTACAAGCAAAGTTCATATCGCCAGGTGTAACGTTGTGAAAATGAACACTATGTCCCAAACTGGATAATCTCAAAAGGCTCTAAGCTAATGGGGGGAGGGATGGATATAATCATAGAAATGTGCATTTTGAATATGTATCTGGTGCCAGTGGATCAATAACTGAACTCAGTTTTCAATAGTTCATAAATTATCAACAATCAACCAATAGGAAGACTCACAGCTATAGAAACACTGTACTTACCCATGATGGTTAGAGCAGTAGCTTTTGTTAATTCTTCTTTCATTGACTCAATCACTTCTAAATTGCCCCCATCCAGGTTGCATCTATTTATGGTTCCATTTCCTGAGCTGATCCAATAAAGCTTGTTCTCCACATAGTCTATTGATAGACCTGTAATTAAATAATACAGCTTAAACATGATGTTTATCTAGTAATATTAGGCTAAAGGAAAAAAATGGAACCACAAAACAAATATCCAAAGTGTAAGGAAAGTATCATTTTTTAAAACCTCAACTGGTTAAGAAAATTGTGAAAATTAAATGTGGGAATGACTATAGTTTGAGATAGTTGCTTGCCTTTTCTTCTTCAAAAAATTAGCTTCTAGTTAGGTAATGGTAAGCTCCTCTACATATAATATCAGACATTTCTTTTTTAATTTGTGCATAGGTTATTCAAATTACACATAGACTAGGCTATCCTGAATGCCAAAACACATACATACATACATACATACATACATAAGCTCTGAGCTCCCCACTTCACATTTCTTTCTTTTTTTTTTTATTTTCCTCTGACAAGAGTCAAAGGAAGAAGGGAAAAACTGACTGCAGAAAACTTGGTTCCTATAAAAATTGGAGTATGTTCCCTTCATCTACTAATTACTATAGCCATATCCCCATTCTTTTCTGTTGGAGAAAGTCTTGGGTCAACAAGGAGTGACAAAGCAGCCAGATATAATGGTAAAAGCAGCTAATATCTTTCCTCTCAAATTCTACCTCCTTCCAAACTTACGTGTTGCTATGGAGACCACCACCATCCTCCCAGTCTCTCTCAGACATATTCACATGCCCCATAACCAATCTGTTTTCAAATCTGGTCAATTTTACTTTCATAACATCTCACATACTCTTCTGTCTCTGACACTGCTCCCACCCTGCTGTAAGTTCTCAGTATCTGCTCCTGTACTATTGCAATAGCCTGCTGATTTGTCTGCCAAGTCTCTCCCCACTCCACTCTATTCTCCACACCTCTGTCAGTCATATTTTCCTAATGTGCAATGCAACTTCTACTCAATAAACTTCAGTGCCTCCCTATTGCCTCCAATAGAATTCTTTCTTTGCTTTTCAAAGGCCTTCATAACCTGCCCTGCTCTATTCCCTCAACCCTCACATTTCTAGTCTTCTTGCACCTAACCCCCTCCCCCCTCCAACTTCAATGTACTCTGTAACTCAGTAACACTAGGGGACATGCTGTTCCTTGAACGAGATACGCTATTTCTCAACTCTGGGCATTTTCACTGGTTGTCTCCCATGTACAGAAAGCTCTCCCCTCCCTATCTCTGTTCCCTAGCTTCCCTGGCTTCCTTTAAGTCCCAGCCAAAGTCCTATGTTCTATAGGAAGCCTTTCTTAATCCCTTTTAATTCTAGTGTCTTCCTTCTGTTGATTATTTCTTATTAATCCTCTATAAAGCTTGTTTGTACATAGTTATTTGCTTACTGACTTTCCCATTAGACTATGAGATCCATAAGAGAAAATCTTGATTTTTTGCTTTTATATACATATATGTATACACATATACATATATATATGCATTTACATGTATATATATGTAAATATATATGTGTGTGTGTGTATATATATACACATATATATATATACATACATACATATATATGTGTGTGTGTATATATATATACACACATATATACATACATATATATGTGTGTGTGTATATATATATACACACATATATACATACATATATATGTGTGTGTGTGTGTATATATATATATATATATATATATATATATATATATATATATATATATGTTCCCAGTGATTAATGCAGTTCCTGGCACATAGTAGATGATTAATAAATGTTTACTGAGTTATTGAGCAATTTTAGTGTCAGAGGACATGGATTCAAATCTCAGCTTACCATTTACTGTGTATACCTGGGCAAGTCACAACCTCCTGGAAGCACAAGTTCCCAATTTGTAAAAATGACTGATTAGATGACCTCTAAGGTCCTTTGCACCTCTAAACTGTCTACTAAGCTTAATTATAAACCCAATTTTGATTATATAATCATGATAATATTTGAAGTCATACATAAAAAAGGCACATCAGGAGAGCTTCCCTTTTATCAGGCTCAGGATCTGTCACCTTCTGTAGAACAGTGATGTGTGAATGGTGCTTTAGAGGACACAGACAGCCCCTGATTGGTTTGGGGTGGGTAGATGGGGGGGTATGGATGGACTTTTATCAGAAAAGACATCCTTTTCTGTGGGCTATCAAACGAGTTCACATAGAAGTTTCTAATATTATTTTTAGGTTGTCTAAAGAGGTAGATGGATGGCAGAAATAGACATGAATTAATGTGCCTGTGCATTCAGCACAAGAGAGGAGCTTATCAAAAATGTTCCTCAATCCATCCTCCTGTATCTGGGTGAGAGGTGAGTTTTAATTCCCTAAGCAGCTTGACCCCAAAATCAATCAATCAATCAATATTTATTACACACTTACTAAATATATGAGGCATTGTGTTAAGCACAGGCAATACAAAAAGAAGCAAAAGACAATTCCTGTTCTCAAGGAGTTTACAATCTAAAGCAGGAGAACATGTAAACAAATATAAACAAAACAAACTATATACAAGATAAAGGAAATAATTAACAAAAGGAAGCCATTAGAATTAAAAGTATCTGAAGGTTTCCAGTAGAAAGTAGGATTTAATAGGGACTTAAAGAAACCCAGGGAGGTCAGTAGGCAGAACAGAGGAGGAAAGCATTCCAGGCATGGGGGATAGCTAGCAAAAACTTCAGGAGCAGAGCAGAGAGATAGAGCAACTTATTCATAGAATAGCCCAGAGGCCTGTGTCACTGGATGAAAGAGTATGTGGTAAAGTGTAAGGTATTTAAAAAAAAAAAAGGAAAGATAGAAGGGGGCTAGGTTATGAAGAGATGTGAATGTCAAACAGAGCTTTTTATATTTGATCATGGAGGCAATAGGATGTCAGTGGAGTTAATTGAGTGAGGGTTCAGGGGCAGAGTGACAAGATCATACCTGAGCTTTATGAAAACCAATTTAGTGGATGAGTGGAGGATGGACTGGAGTGGGGAGATGTGAGCAAGTCAGAACCACCAGAAACCTCTTGCAGTACCACACGTGTGGAGTAATGAGGACCTACACTAGAGTGGTGGCGGTGTCAGAGGAAAGAAGGAGGCATGTTCAAAAGATGTTGCAAAGGTAAAATCAACAGGCCTTTGCAACAGATTGGGACATGGAGGAGGGGAGGGTGAGAGATAATAAGAAATCCAGGATGATACCTAGGTTGAGGGATAGGGGGGATGGTTGCCCTGTGTGATAACAGAAAAGGTAGGAAGGGGGAGATTTAGGGAGACTTAAAGGGAAATTATGATGAGTTGCCTTTTGAACAAAGTAAGTTTAGTCTAGTTTTCTAGTCAGAAGAGGGAGAATTATTGGACTCTGTGATTTGCTTCATGATTAATCTGAACTTCAAGAGTCCTCAAACTCAAGAAAATAAGGAGAAAATTTCCTCAGTAGAGTTGCTGCCTTTTGGAGAAAGACGAGGTTTGCTCACCACATGTTCCAAACCCAGGTATACTTTCCTGGCTCCCCACTTCTACAATGAAAGTCCTGGGGGAGGGGTGGGAGCAAAAAGAAGAGTGAATAAGCATTTCTATAGCACCTACTATGTGCTAAGTCCTTTTGTAATTATCTCATTTGATCCTCACAACAAAAAACTTGTATGGTGGATACTTATTTTACAGTTGAGGAAACTGAGGCAAACAGGAGTTAAATGACTTGCCCAGGGTCACCTAGCTAGTAAGTGTCTAAGGCTGAACTTGAACTCAAGTCTTCCTAACTCTGGGCTCAGTGCCCTATCCACTGAGTCCCCAGATGCCTCTATTGAAAGACTAATGGAAAGGGGTGTTTATATTCAGTACTCTTGAATTATTGTTGCTTTCCAGGGGGACATTGTTGGCTATTTTCCACAACTTCAATCTTCTGGATTTGGCCTTCCTGTCCCCCACACTGGGTACTTTCCCTCCTACCCACTGCTCTATGGGTATTCTTATGTGTGTTGTTTTCCCCCATTAGATTATAAGCTCCCTGAAGTCAGGGACTGCCTTACTTTTTTTTTGTATTTGTATTCCCAGCATTTAGCACTTGACAAATTTTATTGACTATTTATTTGATTTCTTTAGGTGTGTTGGAAATCTGTTTATGGATTCTTTTGAGTACTTTTTACCTTCTTACTTTCTGTAGTGTAAAATAAAGATTATTCTATATCCAATTCACATTTCTTATCTTGATGCAGTTGCTAAAGAAACTTTCTGCCCAAATTTGGGGAAACTGAAGCCATATTTTCAGACTTATTAAGTGAAGTCACAGGCAGGGATAAAAAGTAAAACAGCAAAGTAACCGTTCTGGAGTCACCTCCCATAATTATAACCAATCAATGTGAACTAGAGTTTTCAGTCCTTGAACCACTGGTTACACATATAAAGTCAACTCTAAATTACCTATAGCCTTTAGAAGCTATTACAGCTGTCCCTGTGTAGCTTGTTCTCTAGTGATCCTGGTACAATTCATAGATGGATGATCTAACCCCTACCTATGGATAAATTGCAGTAGGGTGAAGATTAGGATCCCATAGATGGTGGCATGACAAGTAGTCAGGAAGAAGTTTTGGTTTTCATTTGTTTGTTTATTTCCTAAGGTCAGAATTAGAAGGCAGGAATTATAGTTCTTAACTGACGGACCACTTTGAGTGATGACTGCAGCTTCAATCTAGTATAACAACAAGTTAATGTAAATCTCCATTGCAGAAGCTCCTGAATCCCCAGGAAGATTTTCCCACCCCTTATCTATGACTGATCTGCTATTTTTGATTATCTATATACTTTGACAATGCTTTCTTTTCTCATCATTAATAATTGAGGTCAAGTTCTTTAAAAGATCATCATAAAGGCTTCAATATGTGTGTATACATATACATATGCAAGCATATGTGTGAATATATGTATATATGTATATTTGTGTGTTTATATATATATACACACACACACACATATATGTGGGTATATACACACAAATTTATCCTCATTCTTTTCATGGAACATAGTAAAGGCATTATTAACATG